AAATCGTTACAATCTAATTAAAATAGCTACACAGCAAAATAGCAACTAAAATGTCCAGCCATCCCTACATTGTTACCTTCCTGCAAACAAGTGCAAAAAAAAGTTTGCTTACAACAGTATTGAAAATTATCAGGCAATTTTGTAGTAATTAGTCTGTTTTTAAAAATTAAATTCATAAATAAATTAAGTCACTTATTTATTAAGGCAGATATGACAGAACGGAAATTAATATTGCAATCCTATGTACTCACAAGATAGTTTGCATATTTATGAATGAATGAATGAATGAATGAATGAATGAATGAATGAATGAAATGAATGAAATGAAATGAATGAACGAACAATAAGTCTTAGAAACTGTTAAAATTTTTCAGCAAAAGAATGTGGACCTTTTAGAACAAGAAAATAGAATTTTAAAAAGGTTGTAGTATGATTCTCACAAGTTCTCTTTCTTAAAATATTTAAATACTAAGCAATTTATTAAATAGAAAAAGGGCTAAGGACCAAATTCTAGGTTGAGGATCAATTCCATTTTTAAGGAATGCTGAAAGTGGCAAGAAAGAAAAGAAAGCCAGAGTAGTGGATTAATTAATTAATAAATAAAATGCACCATTTTGTGTTGGCACAGTCAGCAGTATGCTTCCAAGAAATCCACAAACTAGCCAGTAAGTGATCACACATCAGAGGAGAAAGAAGATCTGTTCCTGCGGAATTTATACAAATGAAAAGAAAAAAGTTTCCATTTTGTCAGGCGCTGCATTTCTCTGCCTGGGAAAAGCAAAGAGTCTGTTTCAAAGCAGAAGGTCAATGCCATCCGTAAGACATCCAGCTGCACGAGTCTTATAACATTGAGGTTTGCAGAAAGGCAAAAGGATATTCCCACGCACCAACTTTGAGATTTGAGATTTGCCTCTCTCTCAAGCACCACAACTGGTCCATACCACTGCTTGTCTTCTCCTGCATGCCTTCTACAGAAGAAGCCAACACAACTTCTCATCTACAGCTGGCCACCTACAGCAAACTGTCTTCTGAGGAGATGCACAATGCAATGCAATATGGCCACAGTGGCTACTCTCACTATGTCCTTTGGGAGATAACCTTGAAGTGACTAACTTGGGGACAGTAATCTATTCAGGGCAGGTGAATATATGAATGAAGCAGCAATTCCAGACCAAGAAAGTGACAGCTGGACCACAATCTCTTTTAGTCCACAGCTTGTAAGGGCAGCCTCCTTTTATTTATTTATTTATTTTATTTATAATGCAATTTATATGCTGCCCTATCTCCAAGGACTCAGGCCAGCTCACAATGGTAAAGATTCACAGTTCCTCATTAAAAGACAATATAAGATTAAAATTCCAATTTAAAACAAACATTCATTAAGAAACCCCCCATCAGTCCAGGCTGTGGAACAACCAGGTCTTCAAATCGCGGCGGAATGAGTGAAGGTCAGGGGCCATCCGGAGCTCCAAAGGAAGTTGGTTCCAGAGGGTGAGTGCACCCACAGAGAAAGCTCTCCCCCTGGGGGTTGCCAGCTGACACTGTCTGGCCGACAGCACCCTGAGGAGGCCCTGTCTGTGGGAACGCAGCGGGCGATTGGGAATTGTCGCTGGCTGCAGGGGGTCCGACAAATATCCCGGGCCTAGGCCATGAAGGGCTTTGTAGGTAATAACCAGCACCTTGAACCTCACCTGAAGGGCAACCGGTAACCAATGCAAGTCGCGCAGTAGGGGTTAACATGGGAGTGTCGAGACGCTCCCATCACAACCCGTGCAGCCGCATTCTGCACCAACTGAAGCCTTCAAGTGGTTTTCAAGGGCAGCCCTAGGTAGAGAGAGTTGTGGTAGTCAAGACAGGAGGTGACCAGTGCATGAGTAACGCTGCGTTACTCGGTCAGCATCTTGGTCCAAGTAAGGGCGCAACTGGTGCACAAGGCGGACCTGGGCAAATGCGCCCCTGGTCACGGTTCTTACATGATCTTCCAGAGACAAGTGTGAATCCAGGAGGACACCCAAGTTGCGAGCCCTATCCACAGGGGGTAACATCTTACCCCCAATGGTCAACGATGGAATATCTCGATCGGACCAAGATTCCGGTACCCACAGCCACTCGGTGTTGGCAGGGTTGAGTCGGAGCCTGTTCTTCCCCATCCAGGTCCGTACCACTTCCAGGCAGCGGGACATCACCTCGAGGGCATCACTGGGCTGGTTTGGGGTGGATATAAAAAGCTGGGTATCATCAGCGTACTGATGATACCGCACCCCAAAACCACAGATGATCTTCCCAAGTGGCTTCATATAGATGTTGAACAGGAGAGGCGACAGGACTGACCCCTGGGGCACCCTACAAGTGAGAGGCCTCATAGCCGACCTCTGCCCCCCTGCCAACACCACTTGTGTACAGCCCAAGAGATAGGAGGAGAACCATCGTAGAACAGTGCCTTCCACCCCCAACCCCTCGAGCCATCGCAGCAAGATACCATGGTCGATGGTATCAAAAGCCACCGAAAGATCCAAGAGGACCAGAACAGAGGAGTATCCCCTGTCCCGAGCCCTCCAAAGATCATCCACCAGCATGACCAATGCCATCTCCGTGCTGTACCCCGGCCTGAAACCCGATTGGTACAGATCCAGGTAGTCTGTATCCTCCAGGGCCAACGGGAGCTGCCGTGCCACCACGCTCTCAACAACCTTCGCGACAAAGCGAAGGTTGGAGACCGGACAAAAGTTATCCAGTATGGTTGGATCCAACATTTTGCAACACGGCAGGTCTTTCCCATCCTGTACATGCTCAACTGGTAATGTTCTACAACATTAGAGACTACAGGTAGTCCTCGACTTACAACCGTTTGTTTGGAAACAGTCCCAAGTTTCAATGACACTGAAAAACAGTGACTGACTCTCACGCTTACAGCATGTAAATGAGGGGTAAATGAGAAGAGGATTGCATCATAATCCCATAGTACTTGCACGAACTAGTTTCAGAATGTGGGAGATTTTCTTGAACAATTATATGTTCAGATTCCACCTAAATTGCTCCTTGGATGGGCTGACTGATTATCTCCCTTGGAAGGAGAAACACAGGAGAGCAACCTAAGATTAGAGTGCTGAAGATAACTTGCTTCTCATGTTAGAGTTATAAATGCAGAGAGCTGGATTTTCAGGTCCTGATGTGTACTGGCATTGCCAGATCACCCTGAAAACTGGTCCTACAACCTGTTACTTAAGTAAGCGGGCAGGTGTGTGTTTGTATATGTATGTATATGTATAATATGTTCAAGCGCAAGGCTGAATGCTGGAAAAGTGCATTTTTAGCATATTTCAAGCGATATCAAAATAATCTTGCAAGGTTCTTCTTTCCAGCGGAGAAAGTTTCACTGAGCACTTCCCCATCTCCCGGGATTTTTTTTTTCTTTTTGCAAAATACCAAAAATAGATTGCATTTTGTTAAGTTTGATTTTGGCGGAAAAATAGTGTGCAATATAGAGGTAGAGAACCTATTTAGGCCAAAGGACTTTAGGCAAGGCTGGGGCCAATAGTGGGCGTGGCTGCTATAGCGGGCAAGGACATCCCACTGGGCTAGACAGCTATGATGCTTTTTTACTGGCACATATTCATGGTCACACACCATTCTCTCTCCCCTTCCCCTCCCCTCTCTCTCACACACACACACACTAATAATTTTTTTTATTTTTTATTTTTTGATTTATATGCCACCCTTCTCCAGAGACTCAGGGCAACTTACAAGGCATTAAGCAATAGCCTTCATACTTTTGTATATTTTATACAAAGTCAGCTTATTGCCCCCACAAACCGGGTCCTCATTTTACCTACCTTTGAAAGGATGGAAGGCTGAGTCAACCTTGAGCCTGGTGAGAATTGAACTCGCAGTAATTGCAGGCATCTGGAAGCTAAATACTACCTTTAACAGTAGCATTAGTCTGCTGCGCCACTCAGGCTCTATAATGAAGGAGCCCAATATCCAGGATTTGCTTTATTACATGCCAGTACTTGTTTATTTAGTAAAGGTCACCATCTTATAGACATGAACCCAGGTGCCTAAAGTAAAAGTAAAACAAAACAAAACAAAACAAAACAACCCTAATTGCAAATAACATACTGTATTAGCACAAAATAACATAGCATCTTCCTGTTTACAGCACCACTGATCATTATTTGATTAGTAAACATCAGCTTCTGAGAACGTGCAGAGCCCATTTTCCTCACCACCGGGAGTTCAAGCAGATGTCCTTTTAGAAACTACGCTCCAAAAATCGCATCCTTAAGGACTATTTAAACTATGCAAAGTATTTAAACAATTCCTTAACTCCTGTTCAAATTATTCCTTCAATACTATTCAAACAGGTTTTCCAGCCCTGGAGAAATCGCCGCAGCGAAACTAGTAGCCACAAAACCAGTAGCCGGCTATGCCTTCCAGCCTCAAGTGCCCAGCCAGCATAATCGCGCGGAGATTTTAGGCGAAACTCAGAAAATTCCCAAATTATTTTTCGGTTGCTTTCGTATGTCATGAAGTAGCTGTAGCGGAGTCTTTGATCTCTCTCTCTCCCTCTCCCTCTCCCTTCCTCTCTCTCTCTCTCTCTCTTTTTCTCTTTCCCTCTCTTTCCTCTTCCTCCCTCCCTCCTTCCATCTCTCCTCTCTCTCTCCTCTCTCTCCCTCTCCCTTCCTCCTTTCTTTTCCTCTCTCCTCTCTTCTCTCTCCTCTCTCTCTCTCCCCCTTCTCTTCCTCCGTCTCCTCTCCTCTCTCTCCTTTTCTCTCTCTCTCTCTCTTTTCCTTCCTCCCTCCTTCCATCTCTCCTCTCTCTCTCTCCTCTCTTCTCCCTCTCCCTCCCTGCTTCCTTCCCTCTCTCCTCTCTTTCTCTCTCCTCTTTCTCTCTCTCCTCTCTCTCTCTCTCTCTCCCCTCTCCTCTCTTCCCTCTTTCTCACTCTCTCCCTCGCTTCCCCCCCCTCGTCTCTGTCTCTCACATCCTCGGTTGGGACGCACCGTTTGCAAGTCTCGCCCGCTTCCTGGCGGTCCGGCTGGCGGCCCTCTCGGGTTCAGCTCTCAGGTGCTCTGGGTGGGCCAGGTGAGTCACCGCGAAGAGCAGAGGCGCGCACCCTCGCAGCCACATCTCTGCCTTCCTTTCCAGGTTTAGAGTTTCAAGGACTTTGTTGCTTCTTAGCCTGCGACCACCACCATCCTTCAAACCTCCCTCCCCCACTGCCAGGCGTCCAAAGACAGATCCCTCCCTTGCTCGGACCAGTTCTGGAAGAGAGACGGCGCATAATCTCGCTTGCACAACGCGACGCCCGATTAATTCTTGCGCCACTGTCCACGCACGAATCCACCCACGTCGCCCACTTGTCCAAATCGCAGCTCCCAAGAAACCTTCGCCTGCTCCCCGAAACCTCCCTGAAAAGCAGGGAGGATTGGAACGGGGGAATCCAGGCAGAAGCAGCGCTACGTGCTCTTCCCAGAAAACATTTCCCCGATGTGAAAGAACACCCACGGCGGACAAACAACCGGCCGAGCCTTCCAGCCCTTTCCCACGCTCGGCAGAAAAGCACAAGAGGCGCCCTTCCCTTACCTTTATATTTATCCATCCTGGGTCTTCCCTCTTTTAATCGGCGCTAGGCGGGATAGGGAGATCTTTTCTACAGTGGAGGATCCGGATTTCTCCCACGCCCTCCAAAACTCCGGACGGACTTCTCCCCGCGGGACGCGCCTCTTTCGCCCTGCTAGCGGATTCTTCGCCTTAACTCTCGGGTAAAACCTTCTCGGACTGCCTTGCCGCTTCCTAGCTCCGCCCTCCCTATGAGGTCAGAAGCGTCGGACCTTACAGGGACCGATGAGCGGCTGGATGGTTGGAAAACGGCGTGGGAAGGGAGCAGGGAAGGGGGCGCTTGGGTCCCCCAAACCAGTTTCGACGACTTGTGGATCCCTGCGAACCAATTAAATATGAGCAAACAGCCAAAATCCTAAATTGCCTTAACAGAGGGATGCATTCAAGATCAAGTGAGGTGCTAATACCACTCTATCAAGCCTTAGTAAGACCACACCTGCATCCAGTTTTGGTCACCATGCTGTAAAAAGATGTTGAGACGCTTGAAAAAAAGGGGAGAAGAACAACCAAGATGATTTAGGGGACTGAAAGCTAAAACATAGGATGAATGGTTGCAAGAACTGGGCATATCTAGTGAAGAAAAGGACCAGGGGAGACGTGATAGCACACTGTTTCAATATTTGAAGGGCTTCCACAGAGAGGAGGAGGGTCAAGCTATTTTTCAAAGCATCTGAAGGCCAGACAAGGAATAATGTACAGAAACTGGAAAGAATAGAAGATGGAAAGAATAATGGACAGAGCAAGGAGAGATTCAACTTTGAAATAAGGAGAAATATTCTGACAGTGAAAACAATCAACCAATGGAACAGGTTGCCTTCAGAAGTTGTGGGAGCTTCATCACTGGAAACTTTCAAGAAGAGACTGGACTGCTATCTGTCAGAAATGGTGTAGGGTCTCCTGCTTGGGTCTCCTGCAGGGAGTTGGACTACATGACCTACAAGGTCCCTTCCAACTCTGTAAATCTGTTAATGCAAGCTTCTCAGTTGGGCGTACAAGTTCAAATAAATACTTGGAAGACAAGGCGACTAATTTTCCTTCCTTGCAATGCCCATGAGAAACTTCTAAGAAACTTCAGCTCAACCCTCTGGGTAGGTCAGCTGCTTCCCAAACACGTTTTGGGAAGGTGACCTTGGCTTTCAAGATGCAGGGTATGTGAGCAAGGAGAACTGTTTGTTGTCTTTTGCTTGTTCTTTCAACTTTCCTCCCCATCCCAGTAAGACATTTTTGGAATAACTAGAGCCACCAAATTTGATTGGTAACATTCAGAAGATCACTAGATGGCAGTAGAAATTTAAGGGTTTCTAGTATATCTGCTGCCATTTTGTCTGGATTTTTGTAGTCTACTATATAGTAATACAACATTTTTTGATCAGTGGGGAAATCCTTGGATTGGTAGTGGTGTGCTTCACAGAAAGAAAGCAACACTGTGTTCCATTTTAAGTGATGGGAAAGTTAAAGGAACTTCCAGTCTTGTTGAAAACAATAGTTCTGGGGAAATGAAAAGTGAACATAGAAATCTGACAAGTTTGGAGACGAGACTGGCTGTTGCACTTTTTCCATTTCCACAATGACAAGGGGCTGATCTGCTCCTTCAGTGTGAAGACAACCAAATATCCAAGAAGAGAACACAAACTTGCCCTGAACTTCACATGTCTTACTCCAGTGAAAAGAAGTGTCTTGTCATTTCTGCCACAGCTTCTTGGGAGCTTTTAAGGACACCTTCACTCAGAGCATCTTATTATAGTTCAAACATGAGGCCTCTTGCTCCAGAAACAGGATGCAATAGAATCTGAGCTTGAATCCTGGCTACAACCCTGCCAATTGTTCCAGTTATAGCCATTAACACAAGGAGAACCCCAGTTTTAATGCAAGCTTCTTAGAGGGAGTGCCAGGCTGTCCAGAGCCATGGACTGAATGAGCCTGAAGCAAGAAGGCTTCCAAACAAACAGCAGGCTAAAATTTGGCCTTTTGTCATATACAGTCCCTCCAGGCACCAAGTCCTATCTCCTGCTTGGCCTGGGGTGGAGATACAGAACTGGGTATCATTAGCATGCTGATGCTAATGATACTCCCAAAACTGATAGATTATCTCCTAGCAGTGTATTTATTGTAGGTACTTAAAAAGAATGGGGGATGGCACCAAGCCTGGAGTCATCCCAATGTGGAATGGCTGTGGGATCAGGTTCTCCTGCTCCTCCTCTGACTGAGTGGACCTGCAAGAAGTAGAGAAAACTCTGCAAAACAGAGCCTCTGGCCTCTGACTCTCATAAACACTCCAGAAGGATTGATGGTATTCAATGCCACTAAGAGATTAGGTAAAACCAGATGAGTAGGCCAGCACTGAATACAGTCAGAATTTTATCAGATATATCTTGTATTAAGTGAGGTTTAAAAAAGTCTTCAAACACATTGCATTAAAGGAAGTTGACTCATTCATCAGATAGAAGGTCACTGTAATTTGGCTATTCTTCTTTAGCCATTCCTTGGTCCAACCACCTCTATCTCCAATTTTCATTCCCTAGGCCTGTGATGGTGAACCTATATACAGGTATGTGGAGCCAGGTCAGCTCTACCACGCATACCCACGCACTTTGCCCCGGCCAGCTGATTTTCATGTCTCTGCTGGAAGATGCGCACATGTGTGGGGGGTGGGGGTGGCTCATGCACGCATGCGTGAGGTGTGGGGGGTCATGCCTGCTTGCGCAGGGGTGGGGGGATGCAGCACCCCCCTGTGCCCTATTTTTGGTTCCAGGAGGCTTCAGGGAGGCCTGGTAGCACCAAAATGGGGGTCACGTGCACATGCACGGGGGTGGCCTGCAGGGGGCACTGCATTATGGGTGTCAGCATGCTTACACGCACTGTCATGCATGCAGGTGCGCTTTTGGCACCTGAGGAAAAAGAGGTTAGCCATCACTTCCCTAGGCTGTGAACATAAACTCTTCAGTCTCATTTAGAATTTAAGAGCCAGAATGTATATATCTTCATTTATTACCTCTCAGTCAGATCATTATTGCCTAGCCCAGAAGACTATTTCAGTACCTGTCCAGCCTCACCATTGTTCCCTAGTACACAGAAATTGACAGGGTATCATCAATATATTTCAGATATTCAGCTGGTGTCACCAAACAGGTATCAAGGAACATGGGGAATTAGTGTTTTAAAGAAGAAAAATCAAACTTTGTACACATTTATTGACTTGATGTTTGCCTCTTTTGATTGGACAATTTAGCATTGCTCTCTTCTACCAGCACCATCTGAGCATGTACAGAGGACACTAGACAGAGTATAGATCTGGAAAAGGAATTCTGAAAAAAGTAAAATATTGTGAAGTGGGTCCAGCTAGTTACGCATCGCATGGGGCAGCTCTCAGAAAATTTATCCCACTGAAAAAGCAGAATACAAATTTAACCATTGTAATAGAAATCACCACACAAAGGTGAGAAATGACAATTATATTAGTTTTTTTTTAAATTTGATTTATATGTCGCCCTTCTCCGGAGACTCAGGGCAGCTTACAATGCGTTAAGCAATAGCCGTCATACTTTTGTATATTTATACAAAGTCAGCTTATTGCCCCCACAAACTGGGTCTTCAATTTACCTACCTTAGAAAGGATGGAAGGCTGAGTCAACCTTGAGCCTGGTGAGATTCGAACTTACAGTAATTGCAGACAGCTGGTGTTAATAACAATGCCATCAGTCTGCTGAGCCACCAGGCTCAGTTTTGTTCCTTCCATGTGATATTTAGAGTCTGGAAATCAAGTTTTTCAATCATGTGGGAATCCTTCAAGAATATGAAATATAAGCAAATATTTTTCAGACCAACTGGAGTATATTGAAAATGTACTGTATTAGTCTTTATTAACTTTACATAAATGTGCTAATTTTCATATAAATCTCTTTAGTTTGAAATGAAAATTAATCCTTTGTACTTTCAGTGAAACTTTCAGTTATTACAAAAAGAATTGGCAGACAGTTATCTAGTGGGATGATATACAGGTTAAAGCTAACAAAGAGGTGTCTAACTGGTTGAATTTTTAACTAAAATTGCAAGAAATTAGAAGCACATATTATGACTTTTGTCTAAGGAGAGAAAAATATTGGCTTTTTGGAAGCCGCAGGGAAGGGCGATGGTTTCTTTACATGTACAGTAATACCTAAAACATTATCTTATTAATAAGAAAAATAAATGACAGTGTTTCTGCTTAAATTGATACGAGAATATGAGATCACAGATAATTTTTTAAAATCAGAATTAATATTCTAAACTATCTAGGTTTAAATAGATTTATACTGATTTCAGCAATGAGCGGAAGTATGAGCTGATAGTGGCTCTCACTATTCGAGAAAAGCTAAACTGTTTCTATTCTTGACATAAAGATTCAGTTTAGAGTAAATCAAACTGAGAGTCAGTATACTAAGTGATTTAAAACACTTTCTCCAAACTTAATGACTTCCAGATGTATTAGTCTTTGAGCTTCCATATACTGAGCATATCTTGTCCCCATTTTATATGGAAATATAATAAATAAATAATAAAGAAAATAATTTAAGGGAAATGTGATCATATTGTTCGGAATCTTATTTCTTGAACCTCTGTTGAAACAGAAATGAAGAGCAAATATTCAAAATACAAAGAGCACATATTAAAAATTCTCCATTACAGATTAGGTGAATATCCTTCCTGCCTTACTGTAGATACACATAAGAAGTAAATTTTGTAAAAAGATTTTCTGATTTTATTACACAGCCTAATAGTTACCATTGTTGCTTGCTAATAATATTAGCAATAGATTAACTGTTGGAAATAGATTACATTCTTCTTCATCTTAATTAATGGTAATATATTTCTATCTTTCTTCTTTCAGAGAAATTAAATTGAGGCCATCTCACAAGAA